CCCCCCCCCCCCACAGAAACAACAACCGCGAGCGACCCTACAGAACAATACTGTCGAAGTTACAGACACAATTATCGAACGAGGTTTTCTTTCCCAAACAAAAGCTATACCAAAGCATTCGCCAGAAGATAAAGATTCAGTAACAAATGAAGACGAGAGTTATGCCGACAAGAAAGTAACAGTGATGGAAAGCGCACAAAGAAAAAAGAAACTAGAAACTGGAACAGGGTATTGCATGATTCAGAGCAATTATCTAAAAATCGAGAAACAAGGAACAAATGACCTTCAATCGGAAAAAGCGTTACCTGAGAAGCAACAACACAAATCTTCTCGGAAATTGGTTCTACGGCGATTTCTTGCAAAATCACCGGTTCTTCGCCGGGAGGGAGTCAACGGTCGAATTGGAGTTAAAATCGCCTGTGATCTAGGGCTTGGAGGTCAAAAGCCGACGGACGATTGGCGATTGGTCTGTGGACTTGGGTAAATGCTCTTCTATGGCCTTGGTTTGGGCCCATTACACAATGGCCCAATTGGCCTACCAAAATTATGCCACGTCCATCAATTATTCTAATTTACGTTTTATTATACAGTTATGCTATTTTTTTATTTTTCAATGGAATGTAAATTTTATTGAAAATAGACTAAAAAACGTAAAATACCATCGAATATATTTAAAGAAATAAAAATGGATTAAAAATCTTATATAGAAAAGATTAAAAATAATTCAATTTATAAACTATATATTTCAAATCCTATCATTACGATGTAAGACATAAAATAAAGTATCTATTAGAGAGAGACAAAAGTTTCAACACTCATTATATTTTTATTCAATCAAATAACAAAAGGATGACAACAACAACAACAACATAATTTTTTTTTTTTGTAATGGTAACAACAACATAATTTCATTCCACAAAGGAAAAAAAAAACAACCCACATATATATTATATAGCATTCTTTCAACTTATATTATATGGCATTTTCAAGCTTCTTTACAAAACTCGATAACCCAACAATGGTAGGCACGGCATATGAACCTGCAACAGGCGAAACCGGACTCCATGGCCAAAGCTTCGAACTCGGCCTTCGTCCTTTCCTTTCCTCCGGAACATTGCGTGAACATCAGCATGTCCATGTCGAACGCGATGTTCGAGTAGGCTCCGTGGTCTTCGCCGCCGCTGTCCGGAACCACGATTTCTATGACCATAACTTTACCGTTTTCCGGCAGTGCTTTCCAACAGTTCTTAAGGATTTTCACACTGTCTTCGTCGGTCCAGTCATGAAGAATACGCTGTTATACGCATCAAACGGTTAATTCAAAACAATTAGTACTTTTTTATAAATAACAAAATGTTTTTTTTTATTACATGCACGTTATGATAATAACGAGCTGTCGTACAGAATTTGCCGAGCTCAAGATTTTTAGGGATTTCAAACTATTTTGTAATGTTTTCAGAAAAACTTCGTCGGTCCAATGATAAAGAATACAGATACGTTAATCCATGATGTTAAGCGATTAACTCGAGAGATTTAATACTTTTTTAAAACATATATTTTTCAAATGAGAGTGATATATCATACGTATGGTAATAAGTTGTTGTTGTTGTTGTTGTTTTTTTATTTTAATGTTGTTGCTGCTTTTAGTAATAAGTTGTCGTATATATAGAAGTCGTGGAACTCTCACCTTCATGACAATGATATCCCCTTTTGGGACATCAACGAACATGTCTCCGGCCACATGCTCGACTCCTAAAACCATACATTCATTCAGTGACATGTTGATATATAATTCAACGAATTCTAAAATATACGTATTTGAACCGTATACCGTACCAGGATAAGAAGAAGCGTGGGCTAGGGCGCATTTCAAATCGAAATTGATACCCCTGATGTTGGGATACTTTGCCGTGATGGCTCCAAGAGTGATGCCAACTCCACCTCCGACATCGACCACCACATTCGCGGCTTCAAATCCCTTGTAAACTTCTAGAACCTTCTTCATGACGGCCGTAGTAAACCCGACCCGGTTGAATAAACTGCTAAACCTCTTGTCTTTGTCCATGTAATCGAAAAGCTTCACGCCATTTCCATGTGCACGCCCGAATGCGTCTCCTCCTTCTAGCACTACATCCTTCAACTGTACCCTATAATCATATATATATATATACCCAACATGAATTGTGAGAAGATTGATAATGTATAACCCTGAAGAGCTTGCCATAATCAAGAATAATCAACATGCATTAGTCCATAATGTAATTACTTGACTTTGACATCGATTATATATGTATATATAGAGAGAGAGGGAGAGAGAGAGATGAAAAGGGCAAGAGCAGAGGAAAATTACCATGTATTGAGGAAGACGCTGTCGAGATTCACGATGACTTGAGAGGCAAGAGACCCCAAATCTTCATCGGCCTTCATCAAGAAGAAACGGCAAATAGGCTCGGCCGCATAAACTCTTTCGACCTCCTTTCCGACACCATGGTTTCTTGCACGGCACTTCACGACGGAGTAGCTGGCGAGCAGGCGGAGCATACGGTCCAACAAGATCGGAGCCTGAGGGTTGCGAGGCTCGGTCGGTAGCCCACTCGCTATCTGGGAAGGTGATAGCCACGCCCCATCACCCACCGCGGAGACGGCGGCGTTGCAGAGAGTGTCCAAGACGCCGAGCTCGATCGCCGCCTTGAAAACCATCGGAAACGCGGCCGCGTTTGCTAGCCTCACAGCTCGCAAACCCAACTCATCGTCATGGTCGCGGGTTTTAGGGTTAGGGTTTACAGATTCTGGGACAGGGGCCATGATTTTACTTTTTCTTTCAGAAGAGGGAGGAACTGTTGTGTTATGGTGGAGTTTATGCTTTCATGCACCATTGTTCTGTTTTTATAGTGAGAGTATTCAGAGATTATATTTAATTTTAGATTTTCATATTAATTTACTTAGATTAAAAGAATATTACAATATTTATTGATATAAAATCTAATCCTAAAATATCTTACTTAATTTATATCAATATCTAGTTGCCATAAATAATATGATATAATAATTTCCATATTTTTTTTAATTGGAGTGTTTGCTACTCTCTCTCTCTCTCTCCCTTGGTGGCGTTCAAAATATTCGATTTAATTTCTGAAAAGACTGCTTAATTATAGAATACATTTTCGGATAGGACACGTATCATTTTTTTAATCGTTGCTTAAATTATATACTTTGAAGTTGTTATACTAATTCAAATGCGAAAATGAAGAAATTTACAGTTACGTGAAAAATCTTCGTTGATACCATCATTTAAAATAAAACAAGTACCTATAATACGTAGACGTGTAACCAATTTTACCAAAGTTAAATTGGATGGTTAAAATTTTGAATATCCATTGCTTAAATTATATACTGCCAAGTTGCTTGGTGTGTTATCGTTTTCTAAAAATAAAACCTGTGTGCTATTTCGCTGTGATAAAAAAAATATAGGAGTTTTTTGGGTTTTAAAATTTTTAAACTAGAAAAATTGACAATCAAATATTTATAAAATTAGTTTTCATCGAAAAATTTGGGAAACTATTTGATGAAAAACAAAAGGCTAAAAAATTCAATTTTTATTTACAAAAGCCAAAAAATCAAAAACTCAAAACTAAAACAAAAAAAAACTCAAAATAAAAATTACAGTTCATATTTGAACATTATTCAGAAGTATGAATTATTCTGTATCTATAGACAAAAATAATATTCGACGCCGGATTTGGTTTCCGACAGAATCAAAGCCAAGTAGCTTGTCGAGTGTCTAAAGTGGGGACCCGCCCGCTGCTGAATCGGTCAAACTCAAACTATATAAAAGATGCATTATAAATAAAGGAATCATATAAAAAAACAGTAACTAATTAATTTGTATTAATTATTAGATTAGCTTTAATTTTAACATGTTTATACAACATAGTCTAGGGTTTCCTACTCTCTCTCTCTCTCTCTTCGTAGTTTAATATGTTATCGTTAGTCGTTGCCTTCCAAATATTTGCATTAATTTCTAAAAAAACTGCGTAAAAAGTACGACACTAGACAATAACCCTTGATTAGAAACGACCGATTAATATTTTTGAAAAGTTATTACACACGCGAAAATTCTTTGATAGTTTCATTTCAAATAAAAACAGGTATTATATTACAAGGGGCGGTCAAAATAACACGATTTACATGTTTTTTTTTTTGTTTTTACGTGATTGTATTAAACTCCAGAAAAAAAAACGTTTACATCAGTTTGTGAACCAAAACAAAATTTGTACATGAATTCTCATGTGGGCAAGTGGTAAAAAGCAAATTCTCCTACGACTCGTAATAGAGGTCAGCTAATTATCGTAAACCTTTTGTGATACGATACCAATCCTTGAGGAGTCATTTCGATGCCGTCTTGCTTCGTAGCTGCAAGGACAGTAGTGTCGTCCGAATATGCCGATCGATTCGAATACGTGTATGTTGGATCGTTCTGGATATCTTGCATTCGAATTCGAATTTGTAAATTAAGAGTTTCAGTTTTAAATATATCTATGATATTTATTAAAATTCTATCATTATTTTAATTTTTTTTATATATTCGAATGTGTTTTCGAAATTCGGATATTCAAATAAATTTTAAAGCTTAATATTTAAAACACTAGGTAAATATCTGCGCGTTGCACGGATTATATTTTTTATATATTAATTATATTTTTATAATTTTTTAATTTTAATGTTAAAAATATATCAAATTTTTGTTTAATATAAAAAATATATTAGCAAAATTAAATTATTATAAAATCATCATTATTCTTTTATTTTATATATATAAAGAATAAAATTATGAAAAATATATGTTATTCCGTTTTCCAACGTCAATTTTTTCCAATTTGTACAAACTTAAAATGCATGCATCGGCTTTTTTTGTTTTGGGGTGGAG